ATTAACTGTGTGTCTTCGCGGCGGCCTCAGGAAACGCTCATTTTAGGGAATTATTTTTTTTTATGGAATAACTTGAATTGAATCTGTCGGATGTAAATTTGTTTTTATGAAGTCCTCCCATCTCCGTAACGTGTATGTCTCGTATGTGATATGCGAGGGTGTGTACACGAGAATGTGTGTCAAGAATGATCACAGCTCAAAGGAGGTGGTTGGAATTATAATGAGACTGTGTCAACGGGGATGCGGGTGGGTGGTCCTCTGTGTGTTCGCAATATTATCACCCCTTCGGCGTTTCATCCCTTTACCTCCTGATGCCTTCCTCTTATTTTCAAAAGTTTCTATACTAATATTAGCAGCTTTATTTCAAGAATTATTAAGCAAACACAGCACTGTTTGAACTATTTTCCCCGCTGTCTTATTTCTATCTCTTTTGCAGCGAATATTAACTTTTCGCAGACTGAGTGTAATTAAAAAATATATACAACACAACGCTGTTATTTCAAAGTTGTTGTTGGGTCTGCTTATGATTAAACTCAGATATTATAAAAGTAAGATGTAGATTTGACGATAGCATTCATTGTGTTTATGTGCATAATCGAATCCAATTATAATGTAATAACCTGATATAATCGTTGTGTTTGCATATGTAGTATACCATTTAATCTTGTTTTTCTAATTGATCTATCGTTGTTATCTAACATTGCATAATTGTGCTACAAAAAGTTGTGGGAATATGTTTAATAGCCTGCTGATGGAAACTAATACAGTTTATTTATATATTGAAGTTTTGAAAAGTGGATCACCACGAAGGAATCTGTATGATTGTTGGAGAGGGATTGAGGAGAATGGAATATTTGATACGAAATGAAGTTCCATCTCTCAAAGAAGACATTATAGTAAACTCTGGTAGTAGTAAAGGGATATTACTAAGTGTGCATAAAGTACTTACGATGATTCTGTAATGACATGTAATGGGCGCGAATGTAATTGAGGTACAATTAGGTTTTGTAGGCCTCGCGTACTGCTGTCTCTTCAGTTGGCTTCCAGACTCCAGACCGTGGTGTTCACAAAAACCTGACTCAGATATAGATAAAGAGAGAAATAAATAATACCGATATACAACAGTATAGCAGCGAGGGTTGTCTTCCGCGGAAGGGTTTTAGTGGTTGGTTTGACAGTTTGATTTCGAAGATGGCGGAAGTAAGTACCATTTTAATACAAGTTTCAAATATTTTTGTATACACCTATTTCGAGGGATTTCCTCACAATCCAACGGAATTTAATACAGAATACTGAGAAGTTGGGATTTAATAAACATAAAGCATGCCGTCCGTGCTCGTCAAAAGCAAACCCAGATCGCGATGTCCTTGGATGTGCGCGCGGGTTATGTAACACAGCTCCTTTTTGTCTTCAATGAGCGCTGCGGATAAATTGAAGCAAGGGATATAGGCGATTATATTCTTTGACGTACGAATTGGATTATTGTTTGGACGAGATCAACTAAATTAGGATGCCTTAATCTTTCGTTTTTCCTTCTCGGTACTTATGCAAACGCACGCATTTAAATAGACGCACTAGCTTCCTTCCTTTTCACCAATTGTAAACTCACCCCGTATCCTTGGGAGTTGTTGTGGGTGGGGTTTTCTGTATTTCGCAGGAAGATCCTCTTCCGGGGTTTTCGGCGCAATGTAATCCCTCTGCCGCATAAATTGAAGCGTTAAAAATTTGCAACGACCTCCGACCTTTATCTGTCCTATTTAATTGAAAGGGGACTTTCGCGTTTTAAATATTACATTAATCAAATTGCTTTTACGGATTTAGGTTTATGCTTCGTACATTTATAAACACCCTACGGCAAAAATAAATACAAGAGATTCATGCAAAATTAAATTACCTTAACGTAACATGATTTACTATTATATTTTTTTAATACAACCACATATTAAAAATATATAGAAATATGTATAAATGCTCGCTGCTTTCATTTCATACAAATAAACGTTAATTTCAGTTCTGTTTGGAATTTTTAAGCAAAATAAATGTTCTCTATTTTAATATGAATAAACAATTATAATCGTAAAGTCCAATATATTTCAATATATATTTATTTTATGTTTCTACATGTCAGGATGGCCGAGCGGTCTAAGGCGCCAGACTCAAGGTTATCCTTGCCTGCTAAAACCAGGTCCTGAGAGCATTCTGGTCCTCTCTGAGGGCGTGGGTTCGAATCCCACTTCTGACATATAATTTTTAAATTCAACGAATTTATATACAAATTTAGTATATTAGATAATAATAAATTTTAACCCGTTGCAGCAATTCAATTTAGTTTTATTTTTCTAATTATGTTATTTTGTTAAGTTTGTTGCAATAAATATTATTATTTTTTTATTAAATTTTATAGAGTTACAGAATATTGAACATAACAAAAAATAATAAAAATGGTTGTAGAATTTTAAATTGTAATTTTTAAATAATTAATTGCAAATTAATACAATTAATATATTGCTTATTGTTATTTAACAAACAAGAATTAAGTTTTGAATTATTCTGGTTTTCATCCCCAAAGTTGGGTCACGTTTTGCTATAAGAAAATGTTGTACGACTACGCATGTCTTTGCCACACCCTTATATCTAGTGTGAAAATTATCTAGTTTTTTTTTGGAATCATTTTACAATAGTATTGAAGGTTGATTGTAATGATATATTATCGAAATTAGTAATATTTGTATAGGTTTTAATTTTTTTTTTAAATTTTACTTTATTGATTTAAGAATTTTTAAACATTTTTTTTGCTTATTTTTACAATTGCCGTTGTTTACAATAATTTAGATGTTTTATTTGTTTGGTAAATATTCATTAAAAATTTCAGTTCTCGATGTTATTATTATAAATAAAAATAACACTTAACTATGTTATATTTATATTTACTCATTATTAAATAAAAAAACAATTATTTCAAGTTTAATACTATGACTATATCAGTTAGTTGTACGTTAATACTGATGTTTGGTTTTAAATTAAGGGTGAATAATTATGAAAGGAAAAAAAAAACAAGGGTATATTAGGAAGGCGTTGGTGAGAATTTGGAATAGTCTTCGTATTGATTGCTTCCTAAATTAAGTAACCTCTAATCTTCAAATTTATATTAGCAGAAGTCTGCACGTTGTAACGCTTTGTTATCATGGCGAATATTAAGCCCTATTAGTGTAGAGGCCATAATTTACCACTTTCACGGGGAAACGATGTCTGGTTTATCCAATTATGCGAATCCTCGAAGGGCGCCCAATAAATTCCCAATTTTCGCAGCGGCGAAACCCTTCCCACCTAGATTTATGTTCATCTATCGAGCTTTCTGCAACGAATCACAAAAGCTTGTGATGCATTTCGTCGTTCTTATTGATGGAAATTTGAATTCGATGGGCAAACATTTAATGTGTACCAAACTAGTCTAGTATGCGGAGATAGTAGTAGGAAAATCAAATATTTGCTAAGGATTTCTTGAGCTTCGTTGGCCATTCGAAAGAGTTTGCGATGAATAATTTATCTATCTTCGCTACGCGCGACACGAGGAGATATGGGCGTTGTACCTCTCTTCGCACAGACGACGATTCTGCCAGAATGATTTTTTTTTGCGCACATTCAGCAATCGCCATTTATCACGGGACAACTCATAAATGTTGTACAGCCATTGAACGTCTCTGCGTGCCATTACGATCTTCTTACCATGAAGGTTGTTTTTGTTACTTGCGGATTTCCATCATGATTTTCCTTTTTTCATCTCTCTTCAGAACAGCTATTGTTGATTACTTTTATGCCACTTCTGCAAAAGTAGGAAATTGGAGGCGCGCAGCAGTCGATATAAATCTAATGAACGCGGACGAAAAATTTCGATTCAGCCGTTGGAACTTAAATTACATTTCGATCCGCTTCGAAAATAAAGAACTGGCAGGAAATTTAATGGTATAAAATAAACACCGAGGACGCGAATACAATCGGCTCGGACGAGGAGAAGAAGAAGGTTCCTTCTATTTATCTTTTCTTTATACTCCAAGAAACACAATTTAATTCCATTATTTCCACTTGATTTCATTGCATTCGGATATTTGTTTGCTGATAACTTTCTGTTTTGTTTTTCAATGCTACTCATTAACTTCATTAACACATTGTTACACTCATCCGGTCATTTCGAGGACTTTGCGTCCATAGTTTTATAATGTTGATTTTTCAATTTTTTATTCAATTTTTACACAGGAACTTAATAATGGGGTCACTTTTTTAATTAATTGATTGATTTAACAATATTCTTCATCCTTAAGGCAGTGATCGATATTGTTTTAAATTTTAATCTAATAATAATATAACACGGCGGAAAAACACAGTCGTTAGCCATTTCATCAATATTTTTGATCAATAAATATGTTTAAATTTAAAAAAATAATGTAACAGTAGGTAAAGAAGATCAAGTTGAAGATTGTTTTCAAATGTAATATTATATAATAGCTTTTTAAAATTTAAATTAAATGTCCTAAAACCTCTTATTTTGTACTTTATCTGTTTTTTTTTAACAATACTAAAGTAAATTCAAATTATAAATGTTATTTAGTAAACTTATTTGTCAATGCATATCTGCAATATAGTTTTCTTTTTTCAAATTAGGAATGAATAAATACTATCGCATTTATTTCATATGGAATTAAAAGAGATCATATATAATGTTGATAGCGTGTAACAGATATACATGTATAATGTAATAAATCAAGATCAGCTGTAGCGTATTATTTATGAACATGGAGATATTTCATAACGTTCATAGGTTATCAGAACGTTTGATGGCCATTGGGTTCGCATACCAGAAATTGAGTCAGTAGTGATTTGGATTCTCTTCTGAGCACGTTGTTAAGTGTTAAATCGATTTGAAAAAAGAACACAAACTGTTTGTTTGAAAGCATCTAAACAATAGGAAATACAATAATTTAGTGAAGTGATTCTGTGCGTAAGTTTAACCGTGTATGATGCAGGAGTCCAACGGAGTTTTAGAACTAGATGACCTTTCACCAGAGGTTAGAACTTTTGGAAGTTGTATTTTATAATGTTATTTGGGATATTTTTTTAATAAGTTCCGAAAATAGTTTTTTTTAGTATCGATTTTTGATCACGTTAAACCGAAGTGTAATATATTTGAATTAAGTATGTTTGTTTGGTGTGTCATTCCTTGACATTTTAAATTTATTATCAAGAGAAGATAACTGAAATTCCAAGGTTAAAATCTATCTAATACCAAATATTATTAATATATAACTATAATTTCGTTCAGTCTGTTAACTCGGAATTGTTAAATCATATTGATGTATCAAACGTAGGAGAAAATACTATTAGTGCATTAGTTAACACTCTTGTGTCCCGGGCAAACTGAGCATAGGCTTCAATGAATCGATATTTAACAACAATGTATTGGATTATATCGAAACTAATCATTCATCTCATTAAACAGATTATTACTGTGTATTCTATTTGCACAAATCCCACTAAAATGTGTTTCAATTCAATTGTTTCCCGGCGATTCATATTTTCTGAACTGGGTTAAAGCGAGACCTTATCTTGAGTAATAAAATATCAGAATTGCTTTGTACAAATCCTAGAGTGAAGCGTTTTATGGAAGCAGTTAAAAATGTTATTGCGGCCAGGCTCCATTGATTTTTCCTTAAACTTAATGTTTTGGCATTTCGGGTGGCGATTGAGTGTGAATACCTAATTTTAAAATAACCAAACAGCTTCATTTTGTTTTAAATAGTTGTTTAATCAACCAAAATATTATTAGTTTATTTTTTAATTTATATTGTTTAGTGGTTATTAATATCTGAATGCTTGCAGGTATTGATTTAAGCGTCAAAAAGTTTGAAATTAGTTTCTAACTTTATTTGATGCACTTCCCATTTTTTGTTGTTGAAAACCTCAGAGGAACTACTTTACTTTTGTACGTTCACTCTTATGGCATTAAAAGTCCTCGTCTGAAGGACTGTCAAGTGAAGAGGAATAACCACAAAATATAATTTAAAGAGGGCACTCAAAATTAATGAATATAAAAATTGCTATATATTGCATTTATTTATAACTATAATTGAATGAAATTGTGTGCTGTCGTTGCTCCTAATTTAATGTTATAAAACAACGATGGAAAAGTATCGCGTTTCTTTTGGCGTAGCTGTGTAATGTAGACAAGTGTAAATCTGTCGGATCTGTACCATTAGTTATCATTAATAAAAGAATACCGGAATGGATCCGAAATCCCCAATTTTATTGCGACGCCCCTCTCATGATTTGTTCATTGGTAGAAGTTATCGGGGTGGAGGCATTAAGTTGGGCTGGGAAGCAGCACATACATACATATATACCACCACTATACACACATAAAAATGGGAACGAAGGAGTCCGGATGATGGAATAAATGCCAGAGGATGATGGTCGCAGGAATATTTCTAAGGAGCTTGTATCCTGCGAAAGCATACTTCATGTCGGCTGTTGCTACCCCACCAGTGACCTCGTTTGGGGTAATCAATACAACCGAGCACCCCTTCTGGGTCGCAGTAGGCACGCCCAACTCCGGATTCGCCCTTCGCTCCGGGTTTCTCTGCCGGGTACACCCTTTTCATTCTCCACATCTAGCACACATAGAGAGATGGATAGAAGAGGGAACGACCTATCTGCTTTGACAGCAATGCTGCTGCTTGCAGAACTTCAAATGCATACTGGTTCTACTTGTCGGACGGCTGCACTAATACGAAATGCAGATTATTTCGTAGTCTGGCTGGAATTGAAAAGTACAGTAATTTCAGGAGAAAAATGAACAGAAGGCAAAAATATACATATCTATATTGATTATGTCGATCAAAAAATGAGTATTCGACTCATCTCTAAAGAGATTGACACATTTACGATTTATTCTGTCGATTGCATACTCGGATATTTGCATAAAAATATTTTCATCTTCAAGAAAATGTAATGATGGTTATGTCAATCCCAGCAGATATCTATAAATATCTTATTGTTGGGTGGATTTTTATCATGAACATAATTATAAAAGTATAAATGGAATAAAAACATAAATATACTTCTAAAAATACTCATTTTATAGTTGAATATATTTTGAGCAAACCAATATAAAAACTTAAGCGCTTTAAATTTAACCCTTAAATATTACATAATTCATCAGAAAAGTTGTAACAAGTGTAATAATTATTGTAAAAATGAATGAATGTTCAAATAAATATAAATATAATCACGATAAAAAGTTTTGTTTAAACTATATTTGATATAGTACAATAGTATTCACATTTACCTAAATGATAAATATTTGTTTCAATATAAAAGTAGACAATAAATGATCAGATATTCCGTGCACGTATAGCACATGCACGTGAATTACGCAATACGTGCGGCACGACCTAGATGCATCATTAGCAAAATTGCGAGTTTAACACGAGACGTGAAAAAAAAATTCGTACTATTTTATTCTGCAGTGTTCAAAATGTGCCACATACTAAATGAAAGTAATTAACGTTTTGTAATTCGCTTCGTATCCGCAGTGATATCGATTCGAAAACCGATTATTCCAAAGTGCATTCAGACTGTTAAAACGATTACTAGTTGTCGACTTTAAATAAACAATTGTTCAATGAGATTAAAATTTTCTAATTAATATTTAATTAGCAAAATTTAATAAGTTATAATCAATATCAATTGGGCATTGATGAACCTGACATATGGCTATAAGACACAATTTATTCACTTTAAGAGGTACGTTTTATGTTGAAAATAATGAGTAATTTGCAGTCGTCATCCATATTATTAGTTGATAACTTTAATCTTGTTGCATGTTATTATCGTGGTCATTCTAGAATTTACGCTGTTTCATTGTGTGATTGCGACGTAAGGGATATATATCAACTGGATTAGTTGAGATTTAGAAGTAGAGCCGCTTGTTCCAGTGGCCTCGTATTATAAATTGGACGGGATAAAGATCGAGAAAATCCTCTCTCGTGTAGCGCCTCTTAGTATTGATGAAATTTGGCTTGAATTGGGGACACACACAGCGTAAGACTGAAAACGGGCGAATCCTCTGCTCCTCGCTCCGGATTATTACAATTTACTGATATTACAGAAGCTCCCTGCCCTTGGGAAACGTAACTTATTGACGGCAGAGGGTGAAATGAGCAACCCTTTAGAGATCACTTAATAGTGGCGACCTTGCGACCTGATGTTACTACTCGCACGTCATCTCGGATCATTTCCTAATAAATTTCCTTCTCAGAATGAGTGCGAGAAGAGATGAGAAGACCGTATCAATCTTTAGTTTTCAATTTGCCAATTCCTTCGAGTTGCGAAGAATTAAGATTCAATTAGTGTCGGCAGCGGAGATGCGGACTCTTCTTATTTTACAGTTCAAGAAAACTCCGGGAAAACCGAATTGCTTCTCATTCCCCATTTCTCTCGGTTTCTAATTTAGAAAATCAACCATTAAATCCGCACATCTCGGCCAAGCCTAGTCGTTTTATGTTCACTGCATCGAAACTTTTATCGGTCAGAGGGATAAAACAAAAAATATATACAGTGAACTGATTCTGTTGCAGCAAATTGATGGATGCGGCTGACATGAATAATAGACGAATGCTTCATTTTATAGTTAAAATCCGAGCTTTTAGTGAAATAATGCATATTTATTCAATATTAAAGCGGGGCTTTATGCAACTGAATTTGGAAGGAAAATACATATTTAAATGAACACATAAGTATTTCATGCACTACCGATTCTCGGTAGATAATTAATATAATATTTATTGCTTCAGTTAGTCTTTACACAACATAAAGTATAAAATAAATAGAACTTAGACAGAAATATCTGTATAATGAAATATACATATCACAGCCGATATTATATGATAATTAGATAAAGTATGGAATAGCGAATTATTTTATATTTTAACTATTTGTAACCTATATTGTATAAAATAACTAGTTTTTTATTAACTTTAGTAGTAACATATATGATATATAAAGTTATAAGCATTACTGAGAACAAAACTAGCTTAATTTCCAAATGTCAGCTCTGCGAAATTTTAATTAACTTGACGTGTCGTAATACAATTAAATTATGCTATTATAATACTGTACATCTCCCACTTACGATATGGAATTATGAAATTTCTGCAGATTTCATATGATATAATTTTCTACTTTGAATTTCTAAATGTCAACCCTACGGAGATGAGTATCTTAATGCAAATTCATTTAACTTGATGTCTCGTGATAAAGCCCTTTTCTAATTAATTTATGTAGACTTCTCTTGAAGTAACATGTTCTATTTTATAATTTGATTTTACTATATTATACACCTTTCTTTTTTGTTAAATTATTTTTACAGAAAACCTATTAATGTTAAAGTAATTAAAACATTGAAAATATAATATAATGGTTATGTAATTTCTGCAGTAGTCATTAATTATAATTTTCTACTTCTTTGCATTTCTAAATGGGGGTCCTAAGAAGATGAGTATCTTAATGCAAATTCATTTAACTTGAAGCTTCGTATTAAAGCCTTTTTCACTAGTAGATTATATAATATTGTTTGTACCTCGTCAGTCTTATGATTTTTACTTGTAACCAACTTAGTTCCATGTAAATTATGTAAATAGCGATATTAAAGCCATAGTAGGCTATGCAAAATTTAATATAATAGCTGAAGTATTCATTAGACGTTGTTTCCTTCTTAGAATTGCAGCGACGAACTCTCAAACTGTTACAGTGTAGTATATTGAACCGAAGGCACATTTAGTTGTTATTCAGTCGGCAAGAGAATGAATGTCTTGGCAGGAAACTTCGGACCATTTCCCATACCTGTTTTTCTTTTCCAAGCAATAAAACTCGCTGGCCCTGGGTGTTGGCCTCCCTCCTCGGCCGATTGCATAACGGGCTTTTTCTCGAGTCCCAAGCAGAGGGAAAAAAATCGTTATCCTTCGTGGCAGCCCCCGCGGTTCTCCAGCTGCACCGAAAACGCTTATCCCGA